GAACTTACGTGGTATGATGTATCAAATCTAACAAGAATTGATGATGTTTAATCTTATCTTCTTGAACAGTAACTAACTGGTATTATCCTGCACCAGGGAACATCTTTTGCTGGGCCAAGGATAGAAAATGGGCGTACTACCTCATGGTGGATGGTTGACCTTGGAAATGATCATCAGGTTCTATCTCTATCTTTTTTATATATCTCACTATATGTTGCTCTAGAAGTTATAATCAAATTGTTGAAACCATTGGTTCTTTGTTGTTAAATTATGCATCTTTCTAGGGCATGTAGATGTGAGGGTCAAATTTGTCGGTTTTCTCAGAATAACCTCATCTTGAAGACCAACAATCTATCCTTCATGTGCTATTGATGTAAAAACTAGATGACATGCTTATGATATGGTCTTGGTTTTTTTTTTTATAATAGAAAAAAAGTATTATTAAGAGAAATTAAGAGAGATACAATCACGGAGAATAAGGCATCCTCATTTTCTATATATGTGATTTATGCAGTTCCTAAGATGATGGATTATATAATCCGTTGTTTGAAATTCCACCCTGCTGATAACACACATGTTGAGAGCAATGGATTCTCATCCACTACTAGAGGTATCAGACATAGAAAACTTTAGGCTATAAATGGAAGAAAGTGTTTTTATTTTCCTCCAAAGGAGTAGGCTGCCAGATTGATTCTGGTTTGAAGTAGAAGGGGTGTAGTCTAGGCACGGTTATAGAGTAGAATCGAGTAAGATGGAAATATATGTTGGGATTTAAGTTTGCACATGCATTCTGGATGTCCTTCCACGTTTTTTATGCACGGTTAAGTATCTTTCTGCAGTGTGTACAATCTGAGAGAAAAAATTTCCTAACATAAGACAAATGATTGATGCAGCTAATGTGCAACTATTACACATTGCAACAGGACGGGTCAAGGTCATATATAAGATCATGGAAGTTTCAGGTAGAGATGATCTTCAATGGCCTCTCTTGTGGTGGGAATTGAAAAGTTCTATACCTCGTAATGCTATTATTGTCACGGCATAATGCTATAATTGCCATGTCATTTTTAACATGTCTTGAATGACAGGGCTCAATGGATGGCAAGACTTGGACAGACTTGAGAATACATGAGAACGAGGAGACAGTATGCAAGCCCGGTCAGTTTTGTTCATGGCCGATTGTTGGACCCAACACCCTGCTCGCTTTCCAGTTCTTCAGGGTTGTTCTCACAGGTCCAACTTCTGATGCTTCTAATCCCTGGAACTTCTGCATCTGCTTTTTGGAACTCTACGGCTACTTCAACTGATGTTATAATGTACGTGCTGCTACGTTGTTATCCCACGTCCTGCTTTTACGGCCTCTGTACACGGAAGATTTCTGGGTGTGGCTTTACAGTTTCTGGAGATGGAAAATTTGCAGTGCTGCTTCCAACTGACTTTTGAAGATCCATAGACAATCACAGGCAGAAAATAATTGAGTGTCATACTTTTTGGTTGCTTCAGACTGCTTGAAATTAAATAGAGGCGTTTTCCTTGTTAGTTGTTTGTTGTATTATGCGTATTTTAATTTATATATTTTACATTACACATATAAGATTATATATACTATTCATGCTAAACTAGTAAGTGAAATACTTGATTTTATTTGAATTATTTCAGCAGTCAAATAAATTTAAGCCTAAATATTTAGATATAGTTTTGTAATGGGTTCGACTCTTTCATGACTGATTCTCATTTAATTTAAACTTATATTAACTTAACTTTGTAAAATATATTAGTTTAAAAAATTGTGAGTTTTTTGGGAATATTATATAAAATAAACGTATACTAACTTTTAGTTTAAAAATATGTAAAAAATAGTAAGATAAAACAAATAAAGTTGAAATTCAGCAGCGTGATGAACCTTATTATCATTGGGTGGATGAAAATTTTTTCGAATACGGTAGGGGTATTTGTTATGTTCTGGGTCACCTGACGACGGACTATGGTGACCGACGTGCACGTTTTGGCCGTGTGTGTGCATTTTTTTTTAATAATTGTATATCAGATACATCCGTTCAATTTCAAAGAGAACTCTAAAATTTTAATAATTTTAATTTAATAATTATGTCGGAACAAATCGAAAATCGAAGATACTTGTCAAGGGGTTACGAATGTTTCGATTTGGTCATTACAGTCATATTAAAATTACCTTCTGAAAAGGTCCGTTTAATATCTAAAAACTACTCAACAACAATCGAACAAATGCGGAATGTTGGGGTAGAGCCGTATGTAAATATTGGCTATGTATGCGTCCTGTAGTAAGAGGAGTAGTTATGAATCGTGTAGAACATTTCTAAAATATAAAGTATGCTTTTACTTGTAAATAAAATAATTTTTAAAGAAATGATAATTAAAAAAATATATTAAAAATTATAATAACAACTATCATATTAGGGATAATTATATAAATAAATTACATAAATATTTTAATATATTCAAATCTTTATGAAAAAATTATAAAAATAAAATAATCATATTGATGGCACCTGATTTTCCCGCTACTGGCGGCTTGTTAGTTGGCACGTCCAGACTTTGAATTACATTTCCGAAGAGACGTTGCTAATCTCAACTTCTTCTACACCTAAAAGAAAACCATGATGCTTCACAAACCAGGCTCATTGACAGTTTACCATTTTAATGAAGCTGAAAACCCCCATGAATCTTTCGATTTCACCTCTTAGTTTACCTCTTACTAACAATCAAACATGTCATCAAGCCGACACTACGTGAGGAAAAACCTCTTGAAGCAAATCCCACTTTTTGGACTTCCTTTCTGGGTTTTCATCATAATCTTCGTTGTGTTGATCACCGCATTGATTCTCGTAATCCTCTGTTTTGTCATGTTCATTTCTCGTCGAAGAAAACCCAACGCTTGTCTACCATTAAATCCTGCATTAACAGCTCCCAAGAACTACCGGAACCCTTACAGTACTTCATCGCTGGACAGGAGGCAGCTTCTGTCCAACGGGTTTTCTGGGATCGAACTGAACATTTCCAAGCCAGAGCTTCAGGTGATGCTGTCAGATGAGCAGTGGTCTACTAACGGGGTTAGTGCAGCAGCTGGAGGGAGGAGACCGGCGGCAGATTTGGAACCGGTCTCTGGGTTCTGGACTGTGACTGCAGTGGCAGCCGCGCTGAGGGGTAACAGGTTTAGCTTGACGGAGATTGAGATGGTGACTAATGGTTTTGCTTATGAGAATGTTATTGGTAATGGAGATTATGGGGTTGTTTACCATGGCATTTTGTTGAATAACACGCGAGTTGCTGTTAAGAAGCTATTTGCTAACAGGTTCACGAATCTGAAAAGCTTATTCATCTGACTTTGATGATCTTTTTCAGTCTAGTCTTATCAGACCATACATGGATGCTAGATTAGCTAACTAAAACATGAAATGCCCAATAAAATGGATGAACAAGCTAATAAAGTAGGAGCAAATTCATATTTCTGATCTCAGTTTGTTGTTGTTTACTCTTTATTTTTTAGGATATAATGGCAGTTTATCACATACTACTTTTTCTGATTTTAATTTCATGATTTTATAAATGAAATGAGGGTTAGACATACAACTGATTGTTTTAATTTGTTTCTGTGGAATGGTAACTCATCATCAGTTTCCAAGCTGAGGAGGAGTTCATAACACAAGTTGAAAGAATTGCGCAGGTTAGACACAAGAATCTGGTGAAACTGCTGGGATACTGCCTAGAAAGAGCTTACAGGTATCCTAACTCGAACTGCACCTCATTAAGAGGGCAATGGGAGTACTATATTTAAATGTAATTTATGAATAAAAAGGCTATACATTTTCTTGGGGATACATTTCTTTCAGAATTTCAACATTTTCTCAACTTTTTGGATATCAGGGTTTAATTTGTTTCTGCCATTGCTGGAATGTGATACCTTTAAATCCACCGATGTGGTTTTACTTTGATCAGGATCCTTGTATATGAATACATAGATAACGGTAATCTACACCAGTGGCTTCACGGATCTGTAGGACCCAACCAGGCCTCTAACTTGGGGTATAAGGATGAACATTATCCAAGGAATAGCAAAAGGGTAACTTTCTATTAATCCTTAAGAAACATAATTTAATCTCATTTTGTTTTTCATTTTCTTCAATGACCAACTTTGCGTTAAGAACTCTTAATTGGTTTGAACATTAAAGAAACTCAAGTGCCCTCCAATTCTAGTTGATAGTAAATTGCTAAATTCCATTACCATCTCTTTGTCAGCGAGGATGACAACGATCAAATAGTCATTCATTGATAATCTTTTGACAGGTTAGCCTACCTCCATGAGGATATGGAGCCAAAAATAGTCCATCAAGGCCTAAAGTCTACCAACATTCTGCTTGATCACCAATGGAACCCCAAGATCTCTGATATTGGATTGAGTTGGCTTCTGGGTCATGACAACAATTGTTTAGCAACTCAAGCAATAACTATGTCAGGGTCAGTTGATTCATCTCCTGGTATCATTTACAGTGTAGATTCCACTTTGTCTTTTCTGTTGGCTAATCCAACTTTTATTAACCATGCTTAAGTTTCATGTATCTCTAGTTATAAAGATAGAGAACTTGCTTCACCCGGTATTTTGAATGAGAGAGATGATGTTTATAGCTTTGGAATACTTATGATGGAGATTATAACTGGAAGGATCCCTCTAGATCACAGCCAGCCCCAAGTATAAATTTCCTCTGTTAAATCTTTATATATATATATATATATATATACACACACACACTATATTCTTGCTAATTAATTAATTGACCTTGATTCCTACTGCCTACTTGTAGGTGTACTTGGTCGACTGGTTGAAGTCAATGGTGGCCAACCAGAAAATTATTCATATATTGGATCCTAAACTGCCAGAAATTCCTTGTACAAAGAAACTGAAACGAATCGTCTTGATTGCTCTTCGCTGTGTTGATGGTGATCTGAAACACAGGCCTAAAATGGGAGATGTAATTCACATGTTCGAGCCGGGTGACTTGTTGCTGAATGATGTAAGAACATCATGCAGTTTCCTTTTCAAAAGCTGATCGGTTCCATCAAATTCCCATTAAGAAAATGTAGTAATAATATTTTCTTACTTAATTTTCTTTAATACAGGAATTGGATCAGGAGAAATCACCAAGAACAAAATCAGCTCACCAATAACTCAAACAGAGAAAGGAAGTCACCTGCACTGGCTACCAGAAAATTACCCCAAAACAGCACAAGTATTTCTTAGTTAGGCTTTTGGTGTTTTGTAATTCAACTAGAAAGAGAATTGAATAGTAAAAATTTCAGTTTTTTCTTGTGGTAATTTTCAATATAATAAAAAAATTCAGTATAAATACAAAAAAATTAAGCCTAAACAATCCTAAATACAACAAGGTCAAAGTGAAAAATATTAGCACCTGGTTCTTATGTGAGGGCAAATTGAGACTGATACTATACAAGAGCTAAATGATAGAGAAATAACAGAGTGGAAAATGGACGGAGAGGGAGATCAAATCCATCGTTGCCCAAACAATCATTTGGTTGCAGTGGATGAATGATAGCGAGAAAAAGAGTGATGGGGCTGAGAGAAGGCTAAGCAAATTTCTTAACTTCTGTTCAATTCAAAATCAAATGAAGCAATAACCTGTCTCTAAGAGAATTTTCCTGTTGGGTCCCTATATCATATCAATCATATTTTTCACTATATGCCACTAACTTTAGTAGCGATATACTTTCAAAAAAAGAGTAAGAACTAAAAGAAAGTCTCAGTCCTGAAAAATCGGTCAAGTCTAAAACAATACAAGATCATAGACTTGAAAATTTATTCAAATCATCAAGAATTATTTCCAAAGAAAATTTGTTTAACAAAAATCCATCCAAGTGCATAGATTTGTAAGTCACAAATGGCCAGCGCCTCAATCACTACTTCATATCAACTTATCCAACCTAAATAGGAGTTCTATGAAACGGTACTAAAAGTAAAGCTAGAGCTTTAGTAAAGAATCTGCTTGATAACCACCATTAACTTGTCCGCTTACCTACTAATATTCAATACCAAAAAGCCAAGGTCATTCTGTCTATAAACATAAAAACAGTGAAAATAAATCTTTCAGACAACACATACTTGTCCATAATTTGCACAAAAGCACCATAGGCTTGGCAGACACTGTCTGAAATCTGAAAGGGCAATTAACAATCAATTTCCTGTTTCCAGCACAAGCATACAAAAAGGTCATTAAGATCTCCCTTTCTTACTTACTTTTTTTCCCTCGATGGTACAAGAAGTCATCAGTTACTACGCTAGGGGTGGGAATACTTAAACTGAGGACACCAATTTCAGCTACAGCTATGAACGCTACTGTTCCCAAAAGAGGGGATAAGAAACCATTTTTCTGGAAAATCACCTCCGCACAGGTGGTACAACGCCCCTTCCAGCTGTTGCCCCTCGGCCAGCAGCTTGAGCCTACACAGTAAAATAAACAGCAGTCAGGCAACTAACATAAGTAGGACAAGTGATACCTTGATATGCACTAAATATAATTTTACAAAGCATTGCAAGACAAACATGAAATTGGCACCTCGTGCAACCTTTCCTGTTATAACTAGCAAATGAACTAGGATGTACGCTATACAGAAAGAACTTACTTTGGCTCGCATTGCAACTGCCCGACCTCTGCCTACTCCAATTGAAGAGCTCTTACCCTAAAAGAAACAAGGAATTCAAACATTAAAAGTTATATGCCCAGTATGGAGAAAGAACCAATTCATTTATATAAAAGACGGATACCTTGATTCTAGCATCTAGACGTTTGAACATGGGAGCATTCTTCAGCATGTCTGGTATGACCATAAACCTGTTAAAATTCCAGTTTTTAGGTATAAATGATTCTGAAGAGCCCGAAAAATGATTCCAGGAAATATCTTTATTAGGCATAAGCAAAAGACAAAAAAATAAGTACCTGACTTTACTCCCACGAATAAAAACATGCTCAAGTTGTGAGACTTTCCCGTCCTGTGCAATGTGAAACAAGTCAGCAACAATTTTAAGATAGAAATATGGAGTACTACAGGTTGAAACAGATTAATAATTAAATGAAAAAGTCTTAGCTGCTTTCAGAAAAGCGTTGAGAAGATCAAAGATGGGGAAAAAAAAGAAAAGACATTTTATAGCAAAAGATAATCACAGAATTCGATCCTTGGATATACTCTCTTTACAATTTTTTATTCACAATCCAAATATCACAATTTGATCCAATTTAATAGCAAAACAATTCCAAATGTATGAATGAATCGCAACCCATCATGACAAACTAAGCAGATTTTGAGACGGTAAATCACAATTTGATTTTATTTATACAATTCCTTTTATTCTACTTAACATTAAATCCAACAAAGTCTTTAGAATAATTTACTTCATTTACTTAAAAGGTACTCTTTTGAGGGTAATATAGACAATTGGCTTTAATTATTTTCAAAAATAGATTACTTTCATGTAAGAATTATCATCCATATTTACACAATTTGCTCTGTAGACAAATATTTCTTAGTTGCCTATAATTAGTATAGATTTGTTAAGATATCTTAATTTTCACTATTTTTTATTTATATAATATATAAATGACAGTAAATTTTAACTAATAACTATGTTCAGAATCTTATAATATGACTTGATTCACAATTCTCAGTTCAAAAATAGAGCTTTTGATTCACAGCTCAAATAATGATTCAACAACTAAGCTCTGTATATTCAGAAGGTAATTGCTAACTGTACTTTACAGTAGCCAAAGAAGTTAAACTTCTAGGAAGTACACATTTTACATGGAGGAGCTTAAGCATCATCAAATTGAAAGAACAAAGTGCAAAACTTGCTCAAATTTGTTTTGAATTCATTGCTGATAAATATGTCTTTTATCAAATTCATGAGTTTAAGCAACTGATAAAAATCGGCATACCCCTTTAATGATCACTATTTTAGGTAGAGGTTTTATGAGAAAAATCAATTTCCAATTGCATTTTCAAGTGCAAAACTAATCAAAGCACATCTTTCCATGTAACTTATTATTTAACCAACAAAACCACGATTTCAACAGAATCCTTAAACCTAAGCAGGCAGGTTCCTAACTATTTCCCATATTCATATTGGCAGAAGCCAAACAACATAAACCCTTAGTTTTGAAACGATGATTCATGATTCACAAAACTCCAAATTAAGGCTGTGTTTGGAACAAATAACGGATTTTTATGACATTCATTTAGAAATCCACCTATAATTTACCCAACAGATGATAAACATTGTATTAAAAAGATGACAAAACTTTATCTCACAGGCAATTCAAACTAGGATGGGAACTATGATTTCCAAATTCATCATATTAAAATGTGAATTTTATCATTTTAAGTGAAACTTTCATCTCTTCTAGAAAAAGTAAGGGTATATCTCAAATAAAATTGACAAACATAGTTAATCTGTTCCAAACATAGCCTAACATCCAACTTTTTGAAGCATACCATAAAATGTAAAAAGTCGCATTTACGGTTTAGATTCTTCTGCTGCTCGGAATTTCTCCCGAAACCCAACATAAACTAGGGTTTAACAGTTATATTCGGATACTGGAGTTTTAAGGTATCCATACTGCGTTCACGGGACCAACTTATTTCACCAATCTACCAAACTAACCTTGTAGAAAGAAGAAAAACCTCGCGAAGTTCCCGATATTTGAAATGGACATCACGAAATCTAGGTTTACAAAATAGCGAAACCACCGGCGAAATTGAAGACACAACCAGAAGCCGAAGAAATAAATTAAAAAGAGAAGAGAATGTAAACTACCTTAGCAGTATAGGTGATGCTCTCGAGCTGGCAGTTCCAGTTGTCCTCACACTCCACCATGCTGCCTCTGTAGAGCTCTCCACTCTTCAGCTCCACAGTTACCACGTGCCCTGAGGCCTCGTGTAGCAGCTTCACTGGTATCCCCAAGCTTCTACTCATGGCTTCCGAGTTCCTTCTGTATCGCCCCTTTCCTCCGTTTCTTCTTTTCTGTATGGAAATCCCGATTCTCAAAACCCTAAAAAACCCCAGTTTCACTAAGCCACCGACTGATGTTCATATAAAAGTGCGGGAGCGTACTCGTTTTGGGGTAGTTTTGTTATTTCCAGGGGTTCGTAAGTAAATTTGGCATCTTGAATAATTCTGAATTTCATTAATTTTTATTTTCATATGGAAATAATATATTTCCAAAAGTATATTAAATTATTATTTCTTTAATTTAATTTCAAGCAGCAAAAGTTGAAAAAAAAAAGAAAACGTAATTTAAATAAATTAAAATAATTGTAAATTGTACAGTATTATTTTTATTTTCTATTTTAAGCTCCATTTCACTTTTTTTATAAGTTTTTTTCTTTAAAGTGCTAATTATTCTTGTGTTTTTATATTATAAATAATACTAAGTTATAAAATATTCAAAACATTTGAACCCAACCCAACAAAATTTTTTTAAAAAATTAATTAATATAACTATATCTAAATTACTTATATTGTAATCTATAATAATGACTTATAAAATATTAAATTTATTATTTACAATATATAACTTTCAACTAATAAATAAGTTATTATTATAATATTAACTAAATACATAGTCACTTAACAAGTATAAGTTAATCTTACTATTATGATATTTTTTAACTTTTTTTATGATCTAAAACCATAAATTAATTGTTATAATCAAAAGTTCGAGATTAAGTTCTAAGAACATTATATATATGATCTCAAATAAAATAATGCATTCACATTCTTTCTAAATTTGATGAAAATAGTCACATTAAAGTTCAGACTGTCACATTTGAATTAGTACGACATAATAAAAGATCGTGTGGATTACCTTACTTATTAGAGAAGTTTCATTATTTTAAATAGTAAAAACGATCATATTTGAAGGAATTATTTCAAACTCTCAATGAAAATCATAAATTTGAATTAAATAATATACATAATATTAAATATTGATAGGTTTAGTATCTCCCATCGAATAATAAGAAGTCAGAGAAACTTTTTATATGTTTATATCATGTAGTTTTTGAAAAAACTCTAAACTTCGACAAGTTACACAAAAACATAACTATACTTTCCATTAATTGTATAATAAAAAGTTATAGCATTTTTTAAATTTAAAAGTTCTGTTGAAATTTTGTTCGAGCTCTTCATAAAAGCTCGTAAGCAACGAATAATAAAAGTGATGACTACCCATGAGTGATGTAAGTGGTGAAATCTCCAACAAGATATTATGATAATAACATATATTCACGCAAAATTTAATTTTCGCTGGTATAACAATAGATAAAATGCATAATAGTATTTTATTATAAATCATCTTAGAAGTATAAAACAATGATAATATCGAACGAACATAACATTTAAGATTTAATAAGAATATGTTGAATAAGTCAATTGATTATAACTTTACAATAATATACTATTTGAAAATCATAGGTACGAAAACGAAATTTTCTTCTAACATAAAAAACTGACAAGATATATAATATTCGTCCATTCTAAATTATTATAGAAGTATAAAATAATAATAATTTTTTAAATAAACAAAACATACAAATCGTAATTCTCGAGTCCTAACATTGACGAATGTAGTGAACTCAAGCTAAAAATTAGAACCCTTACTTGTTCGGAGCTACTACGAACATCATGTGGCAAATAGGGGAAGATGGCATGGAAAATATGAAGGGGCAAGGCCTAAACAATTATTAAAGATAAAGTATTTTTTTCAAAGGAAAAATTACAATTTCTACTTTTGTCTCTCAAATGAGTTCTCAATAATTGACGGTAACTGGGCCGTCACGTGGAGAATATCCTTTCCTTGCCTCGTGTCCCCTTCCTGACGGAAAAGGAAAAGACAGTAACGATGTAATTTGAAGTGAAGGTGGGTCCACATTATGGACGGTCAAGATATTCTGGGCCCGTAGTAATTCACGTTAACGGCTCTGATAAACCTTCTCATTTGTTATAAGCCAAAATGATTAAAGAAAAATTCAGGTAGAGACTTGACAGAGGCAGATGGAGCAGAGAGGCTGAGTTGGGGAAGATGTTTGGTTCTCTCCGTCCAGCTGCTACCCCAGTATTTGGCTCGTTACCACCTTCCTCGAGCAAGAAATGCGCCAGGGTAATTAGGCTAATTGTGTGTGTGTGTGTATATATATATTTACGTGTAGAGGTTTAGACATGTATATTCTCCCTCTGGTTAACTGGAGTACCAGATCCTTGTTCATATAATTTCCATGGGATTAGTGATTACCTGGTTTGCGATTCTTGCCTGTAAATTTTTGGAATCAGTTTAAGTTTTTCAGCCAGGATTTTGCTTTCTGCGGTTATTGATGTTCCCTTTGCCTGAGTTAAAACTCACTGGTGTTAACTTCTAGTTTCGTATTTATATATAGAATGACCGACATTTCATATGTGGTGAAGATAATATAATATTTGTTTTTGGCTTCTCATGTAACATAGCTTCTATAATCTGAGACAGCAAAGGATTTAGGCGACCATAGATCACAGAGTTTCTTTTTCTTTTTAATTTTTGCCTGAAGGTTTGTCAATTTTGTCATTGTGATGCTCAAGATATGAGATCACTGGGTTGCTTTGGGTGGAAAATCGGATACCACAGATTGTAAGCTTCATGCTCCTATTTTAGGGGGTGACTGAAATAGACGAACTACATTATTTCATGGAATTTATTTATAAATTTTAGATTTTATACTTGGAAAATATGTTTGGAAGAATTGATCAATTCTTGTGAAATTCTTAGGAAATATACACTTAATTATCCATAAGAACATAAAATTTAAACTTCACTTAGTGAATCTGAATCTTCATGTTTCAATCATATATATTCCCAGATGAGTTTGAGAAAAGTAGCTAATTTGTTCTAATTCTAGACCTTCCCCTACCGTTGTTTCAAACATGAAAATTCAATCGTTGTAAATGAATTTGAAACTGATTCAAATACTATTTTTAAAATTTATTGGGATTTAATTTATGGAATTTGAGAATGATTTATGGAAATTTAAATGAGAAATAATCCTATATATATATATATATTTTTTGAAATACAAACAAAAGTAGAAGAAGCCACTGGACTAGGAATACACTATCAAAACTATATTGGATTCATAAAATATTTATAACTTTATGATTTAACTTAATTATGAAATCCATTTGGAAATGAAATAAATCTCACTGTTCATGTTCTTGAAACATAACTGAAGCACAAAGAGGTTGTAAATTTAGAATTTCCAATGCAGATTAGACTTATTTCTTATATTTATCATTGATAAATGGTGTGTATTAAGATAAGAGTAGATATCATAGGTTAGAAGCATTATGAATTTATTTTGTCTTGTTTAATTTGGTTTCTTTGTGCTTTTTAAATTCCTGAATAATTTGTTTGGTAGGCACCTGGACGCAAATGGCAGATTACTAAACAACTACCATGTGTTTCTCCAAACTCCTGTAAGAGTTGTGTGTTCCTATCCTCATCCACGATCTTGGAAAATTTGAAGGTGTGTTTTAGCACTCTAACAAGCAGACAACAATAAAGTGGCATTTTTATGGTTTAAAGTCCATATGCTTGATGTCCTATAATATTATTCAAATTAATATGGTACCAAAGTATGCGGGATGTTATTTCACATTTTTTCATTACTCCTGAATTGTTTAACAAAATTCTGAAAATTTTATTGTCAACAATTTGAACATTCTTTGATGCAATAAGGCCTCTTCATAATTAACGAAGTAGCAATATGGAAACAATATTTCCATGGGAGGGAAATAGATAATTTTCATTCATGCATTTGTCTCCTAAATTTTTTCATATTCGTGATGATTTCAGTAAATTGTATGAGAGTTAATTGTAATTTTCCCACCAGGTAGATCATAGCTTTCGAATCTCAGCTGTTCTCACAGACAACAATCCAAGAATGACAAACTTTGAGAGAGATTCAGAAAATATTGGTATTTTGGTTGTTGATCCAGCCTTGGAAGGATATAAAGATCACTTCAGATATAGAATGAAGAGATATGTAGATCAAAAAATGCTTCTTATAAAACATGAAGGAGGTCTCAAGGGATTTGCACGAGGTGATTGATATCAGTGATCATCATTTGTTTTCATTTTCCTTTCAATTCAGCTATTGAAGGATAATGAATGCTTGACTAGTGTTCATTTAAAATTTCTAAATTATAAGGATATACAAACAAAGACATATTTCTTTCTTGGTTTACATGTATACCTGCTAGATCCTATGCTCCCATCATGATCATTTCTGTTTCTGGTTTGTTGATTCACATTCTACTTCCCTTGACAGTAAAGTTTATCTGCTTGCTTCATTATATAGGCTATTTACAATTTGGATTCAACAGAGAAGAAGATGGGATTGTGTACCGTGAGTGGGCCCCTGCCGCCCAGTAAGTTTTTTGCTTTTAAAGTACATGTTAGTCATGTTTGCTTGATTGCTTGTTAGAAGTTATATCTATGCAACACAGGGAAGCAGAAATAATTGGGGATTTTAATGGATGGAATGGTTCCAACCATAAGATGGAAAAGAATGAATTTGGTGTTTGGAGCATCAAAATTCCCGATTCTGGTGGTAATCCAGCTATTCCTCACAATTCAAGGGTAAAGTTCCGATTCAAGCATGGCGATGGGGCATGGGTTGACCGGATTCCTGCTTGGATAAGATATGCAACTGTAGATC